TCACAGGCGTAGCAATGGGAAACCTGAGATGTCAGACGTCAAACTGCGACTCTACAAGTTCTACAGGTAAAAACTGTTAACAGTTTAATGGGTTGCTATAAATTAGACAAATTTTAAGACTTTAATTTATCTTGTTTTCCAGGCCTGAGAACACACACAAAGGTGTCAAAGCTAGTTACCATACAGACATCAATCAGCTGTACTGGAGTGATGAAGAAGTGACTGTAAACATGGATGACGTTCTCGGCCGCTGCCAGGTAGAATATGCAGAGGACCTGAATGAATCCATCCAGGACTACTCCAGTGCTGGACCTGAGCGCTTCTATTTTCTTGAGGTACAGTACTTCCTTTCTGCTGTAATCTCTCTAATCATCGATTTATCAATTCATCAAAAACAATTTCTTGTAATGACAACCGCACATGCATAGAAGAAAGCAAAAACAGTTGACATGGTAGATTTTGTCTAATACTTGAACATTTTATTTGGAAAAGTCTTGAACATGTCTTCAATTCAGTGTAGAAACTGCAGTCTTATTTTCATACACGTTCCTCCTTCACAGGCCTATAATGCAAAGGCAAAAAGCTTTGAGGATCCCCCAAATCATGCTCGCTCAACTGTCCATAAAGGAAAAGGAAAGGGCAAAGGAAAAGGTAGAAATTGTATTTATTTTTTCCTTCAAAAATTGATTTTAGTAGTCTCTGAAATCCTAATGTATTAAATTTGGTTTCCCAAGGTAAAGGCAAAGGAAAAGCTTCAGCTGCACAGGAACAGCCGGACTCACAGCCTAAACCTAAAGTGCCCAAGTATCGCACATTGGATGTGTTCTCAGGCTGCGGTGGACTTTCTGAGGGATTCCACCAGGCTGGTAAATGTTGCAACCCACTCACAAAATGTTTTCAAATCATCGTTTTTGTTTGTTTGTTTTTGGACTGCAGTACAAAAGCGTAACTGCTTGTTGCCTTTAGCAATCTCGGAGACCCTCTGGGCTATAGAGATGTGGGAGCCAGCAGCACAGGCCTTCAGACTGAACAACCCAGGCACAACGGTGTTCACTGAGGACTGCAACATCTTGCTGAAGTTGGTCATGTCTGGAGAGAAAACAAATTCTCTTGGCCAGAAGCTGCCTCAGAAGGGTGATGTGGAGATGCTGTGTGGAGGGCCTCCTTGTCAAGGGTTCAGTGGGATGAACCGCTTCAACTCTCGCACTTACTCCAAATTCAAGAACTCACTCGTTGTCTCCTATCTTAGGTTGGTTCGCCTAAATTCATCAACTTTCGCCGACACTGTGCAGCAAGCTTTTTTGTTTCCCACAAAAACTCTTAACCTCGCATTAATAGTTTTTTATTATTATTATTTTTCTTCTTATTGCAGCTACTGTGACTACTACAGACCCAAATTCTTCCTGCTTGAGAACGTGAGGAACTTTGTGTCATTCAAAAACTCTATGGTCCTGAAGCTCACACTGCGCTGTCTTGTGCGAATGGGATACCAGTGTACCTTTGGTGTCTTGCAGGTGGGTCAGACCTTAAACTTCTTTTCTGCTGTGAAATTTTGGGTGAAGCTAAAATGAAATTGACTTGGAACAAATTTCAGAGCTTGTGTTGTTAACCAACAGCTTGCTGTAAGGTTTTTCTTTTCTTCTCATACAATAAAGGATCACTAATGCGCTGCGTTCTGCTCTCATTAGGCCGGTCAGTACGGTGTTGCTCAGACCCGGCGCAGGGCCATCATCCTGGCTGCTGCTCCGGGAGAGAAGCTGCCACGCTATCCTGAGCCTCTGCACGTATTTGCTCCCAGAGCTTGCTCTCTCAGCGTTGTGGTGGGTGAAAAGAGATACGTCAGCAATGTCACACGGTAATGTAAACACTTTCCCCTTCTGGGTTGCTTATATTGTATTTTTAGGTTGCAAATCTTTCTCGCAAGACATTAAAGCTTCATTGTCACTAATTTCTTTCTACAGAGGCAATGGTGGAATCTACAGAACTATCACTGTCAGGGATACCATGTCTGACCTGCCAGAGATTCGCAATGGTGCAGCTGCACTGGAGATTTCCTACAATGGGGAGCCCCAGTCTTGGTTCCAGAGGCAGATCAGAGGCACACAGTACCAGCCTATCCTCAGAGATCATATCTGCAAGGTGAGTTGTGGTGTTCTCATGTTGGCTCACTTTTTCAGTCATTAAAGAATAACTTTATGACAGAAGTTACATGATCTGCATTACAGGATATGAGTGCACTGGTTGAGGGTCGGATGCGTTACATCCCCTTGGCTCCAGGCTCCGACTGGAGGGATCTGCCCAACATAGAGGTCCGACTGAAGGATGGCACCCTGACTAAGAAACTGCGTTACACACATCATGATAAGAAGAATGGGCGTAGCGGCACCGGTGCACTAAGGGGTGTTTGCACCTGTTCAGGAGGTATGCAGAACTTAAAAAAAGTTGTAGAGCTTAAATCTCCATCTGGGATACATCTCTTATAGTTTCCATGCACATGTCTTTTTAGGTAAGCCTTGTGACCCTGCAGACAGGCAGTTTAATACCCTGATCCCCTGGTGTCTGCCCCACACTGGGAACCGCCACAATCACTGGGCGGGACTCTATGGCAGGTTGGAATGGGATGGTTTCTTCAGCACAACAGTCACCAATCCTGAACCAATGGGCAAGCAGGTACATAAGATTTTTTTTTTTAAATTTATTTATTTTTTTTAAATTATTATTAAGCATTTCAGTTTGTTTACTTGGTTTTACATTAAACAGTCCTTCAAATTTATTTAATTGTGAAAAAACATCAGAGTACTTGCATTTAAGTCTTGAGCTAATTTGTGTTTCAGGAGATGGTTTACACTTCTTAAATGAAAGAAACTGACCTTAGGCTCTCTTGATTACAGGGCCGTGTACTCCATCCTGAGCAGCACAGAGTTGTCAGTGTGAGAGAGTGTGCACGCTCTCAGGGGTTCCCTGACACCTACCGCTTCTTTGGAAACATCCTGGACAAACACAGACAGGTACACTTATACTTTTTATTAATCCCTGAGAAATTTATGTGGTTACAGTTGCTACAAAGAGGGTAAGAGTGGCAACAGTGACTTTGGTACGAGTTTTAGTCACAATATTGTACAAGTCACGTTAGGGATCACTATTTTCTTTCAGGAGATGTCGCTTGGTCAGGCCTGCAGAGACATTTTAGCAGGAATCTAGCACAATATAAACTTTGAAACTGCCTTGTTTTAGTACAGTTTTTATGTCTGTGAGAGGCAATACATTTAGGTGATGGAGGATAAATTAATATGTTATTATTTTTTGTTTGTTACATAAATGATAACAAAAATAAGCAGCATTTTAATTTTTGGCCTTTATCTTCAAATTTGGACTTAGTTGCAGTTCCAAAATGACGATGTCCTTATTGCATTTCATGAGCTGCCCAGGAACATCTCTCCCTGCTTCTTGCCAAGTAATTGCTTCTGTTTCCTTCCAGGTTGGAAATGCTGTGCCCCCTCCGCTCTCCAGGGCCATTGGGCTTGAAATTAAGAGGTGCATCACGGAAAGGATGAAGGAAGAACAAGCATCAGGTGGCTTTCAGTTTAATCGTATGATTATCTTTTAAGATTTGAATGCAACAATCCTTATTAATGTGTGTGGTTTTGTTTTAATTTATTTTAACTTGTTTATTTTTCCTCCACAGAGAACATTAAACAAGAGAAGATGGAGCTCTCTGATTAAGCGTGTAAAGTTTTCATCAAGAATCACTTCTGCAAATCCTGGTGCTGGTGAAATGATTTCTCTTAAAAGTTGCGATTTAATGGCGTCACCAAGTGGCCGCTATGGACTTTCTATGTAGTACCATTCCACATTGAGTTTTAAATGTGCTTTTAATCATGATGTTGTTGCTGTTGTTGTTAAATGTTCACCTAATGTGGGATAAATTGTATGTAGTTTTTATATGTAATATTTCAAATAAATCTTATGAAATTCTACTTGTAGTTGTCATTATTGTAAATGTACAGCAAGAGTGTGATCAATATATCGGGAATCATAGAAAGAAGTGCCAAGTGGTGGAGAAACCTCATCCCTTTTAATTCTGAAGCATTTTGTAAATGAATCTTAAAACTATGCATGTTTTCACTAGATGGGGGGGAAAAAAAGGTTGTTTTTAACTGCTTAAAGTCTGACCTGTACAACAACCTCTTTCCTTGAGCTACTTTCACTGCCATCTTTGACGTTGCAAAATTTATTGGGGGTTACAAATACATTTTAAAAAATAAATACAAATTAAGCACAGGGGTCACATGATACAAGACTAAATCCTACAAATAACACTACTGGGTGTAAAATGTACTCACTGATCATCAACAAAACAGTGAAACTGCAGCTTTTAAACTCGTCCTGATAAACAGGAAACTCTAAAACCTTGACTTTGCAACTAATCTTGTAGCTACACAGCAGGAACCATATACTTAGAAGAGAAACACGCATTCTAATTTAATAACCATTCATTACTTCAATCACAAATTAGTAGTTGAGAACTCTGATTTGAAACAATTTAGATTTGCAATGAGTTGTTTCCAGATTATCTGCACTAAAATTGCCAAAACTGGTACAAAAACAGTCCAGTAAGTGGAGCACGGCTCCTTCCCTGTCTTGTGATTTGCAGAAGTGAGAGTATTCTCGGAGGGACCGTTAGACTGCTGGTGTTAAATTGGAACAGCAGACACCGCAACTTGTCTGCGTGTGTGTGTGTGTGTTCTGTTTTTTTGTTTTGTTTTTTTTGTTTGGTTGGTTGGTTTTTTGGGGGGGGCGGGGTTCTTCACAAGACTAGTATGGCTTTTCTGAGTTCTCTTTTCTCGAACAGTACAGACTAGAATAGATTTGCCTCTGGCTAAATAAGACTTACTGTATCTGCATCTACCAAAATATCCATCTGTTAGTCTCAGACTCTGGAGGAGCGGAAGAAAGTTCTGAACTTTGATGCACTTGTGAACACATCTGTTGAAGCCATGATGTGGCCCTTCATCTTCAGCTGCTTAATCGCATGCATAGGTGGGTCTGTTTTTTGTTTTTTTGTTTGTTTTTGCTGTGCTTGTTACTTTGTTATATAGTTACCATATTATATTTCTATAGTTTTAACACAACGTCCAGTTCCTCTTCAGGAGAAAACCTTCAACCACATTAGCACTGGTCATAAGCTTTTTATTTCTTCAGATTATCAGTTTAATTTAAATCCACTTTATGAAGTCATTGTCTAAAATCTTTAGCATTTATCACTTAGAGTGTTTCTAGCATAAATCTGCTGCCTTTAAAGACAAAAAAAAAAAAAGCCTAGCAGCTGTTATATCGTAGATATTGTCCTATTATTTACTAAGTTGCAGGTCATTAGACATTTGACCAGAAGTCTTCAATCCAAAATATGCTAGAAATTGTTTTTTCCCCTAAATAACAATAATTTAGTAAATGGATCATCGTTTAGCAACTCTAAAGCAGCTTAACTATTTAGAGACTAAAGTGATCAAATTATATTATAATTTTATATTAGGACTTACTTTTAGTCTATTTTTTTAATCATAATTATATTTTTTCCTGTATCCTTTTTTCAGATATTTATAGATTTTCTAAAAATGTTTTAATGTAATTTAGTATGACCTGTTCTTTATGCAAAAATAAAGGTAGTTCACCGTTTCATCTCACTTGGTACACTTAGTTTCTCCCTCAAGGCCTCTGTAGGTCCATCATTATCTCTTAATCTCCAAGTCTTCCATTATGTTAAGGATCAGAGAAGCTATAAATGTTGTAACAGAGGAACACAAACAATTTCGTGGTTTTTACGACTTAAATATGTCCGTGTATATTTTAAGTCCAGAGTTATGAACAGTGTGATCAAAAATCAAACCACTCTTGAAAGTTAAATGGGAGGTGTCCCCTAAAACGGGTCAGTATATTACAATCACTCAGGTTGCAATATTGTCCATGCATCTATTCTCGTCCGCTTATCGTTATCAGGGTCACCTATCCCATCTGCCATAGAGCGAAAGCTAGGGTACACGCTGGACAGATCGCCAGTCTGTCGCAAGGCTGACACAGAGAGACATGCAACCATTTGCACTCACATTAACATTCACCTAACTCAGATGGTACAGTGAAACTCATCACATGCCTTAAGTCCCTTACTCCCTGTATTATTTTTTAGGAAAGCTTGTGAGCACTTCCTGTCCATTAGACATAACCCCTCCTAGAGTTGTGGTGAGATTTGGAGACTCCTTATCAGCAAACTGCACCTCATCATCTGACCAGATTGAAGGAATGGGATGGGAGTCTCTATATGGAGGAGTGGACCTTACCGAGGGTGTTTCTTCTCTTCTGTTTAAAATTGACTCTGTGCCAGCGTGGGAGATAGTGCCAATGTGTTATATGAATTCCCGTGATGGTGGTCAGTGTGGGAAAACATTGCCAGTCATTGTTTATAGTAAGTAGCCTTAACTCTTTCTAACATTTCTAAGATGATCATTTTTATTATCTAGTCACTGAGTAACTTTGAGTCATTTTATTATTTTTTGAAAAATTATTTTCTTTTTCAGAAATGCCAGACAGTGTGTCTCTGAAGAATTTACGTACAGTGGAAGAAGGCCAACAGTTTGCCATACAGTGTGACATGTTAATGTTAATGTGTTAATGTTGCACCAGCAAGAAGTCTTTCAGTAGTTTGGCACAAAGGAAATAAGATCTTGTCTTCTCAGACATTTGATGAGTCCAGTCCATCTCCAGTCAGTAAGTCATCTGTCCTCACTCTGACTGCTCATAGAGATGATGATGGAGCTGAGATCTGGTGTGAAGCAAAGCTGAACCTGTGGACAGAGGAACAAGGTCCTCCTCCAGTGCGTTCTGAAGCTCATAATGTGAATGTGCTCTGTGAGTTTTTAACATGCTCTTAATTTAATCACCACAAGATTTCATACTGAAAAAAATAGCTTTTCTTTCTTTGTCTGTATTTTGATTGGATGTCCTCAGACCCACCAACCTTCACCAATGATCCAAATGAGAATTTGGAAATGACAGTTAGGAGCAAAATATCTTTAAATTGTACAGCTAGAGGAAACCCTATGCCATCCTACCATTGGCAATTCCCAAACTTCACACAAGTGTGGTACAGGAGTCATGATGTGAATCATCCTATTTTGACTCCATTATCTAAGTTTCCAGGGGTCTATATCTGCACCGCCTCAAACAGTCAGGGCATCGTGACCAAATACTTCATCGTCACTGAAGCTCCACGTAAGTTCTTGGCAGTTCATTCATTTATATTTCTTATTGCTCTGCTTTCTTATTTCTTATAATCTTGTGTGCTGTAACTCTCTAATCAGCAGTTCCCCTGGGACCACTGCTGGAATTTAAATTTGTTTGTTTATTTAAATCTTTATTTTGGGATTTGTGATTGATTTTATGTAATAAACTTTTCCATCTCTCACAGGAGATCAAACAATCATCACAGTAATAGTCAGAGTACTTGTGGCCTTTGGACTCCTGCTCTTCCTTGCTTTTCTAGTTTTTACGACACACAGAGGCATATTTTCATGCAAGAAAGGTGACTATCTCCAAGGACAACCTACCTCATCAGTACCAGTGTAAAACAAATTTGAATGGGTGCATGCTTGTTTCAAAACTGTAGCTGTAAAATGCACCATCTTGTCAGCTATCGCTAAAGCTCCACTAATCAAGACTGCTGTCCAAACAAACAAATTTAATCAAGCAGAAACGTGTTTAACAGCAACACTGTGAGTGTAAACATGTGTATGAACAAAACAGATTATTAATCAGATTTCATCCTCAGCTATTCATTTATTTTAACTTTTCGGTGGACAGAAATAAGAAGGAACAACTTTGCCTCTGACTGTCAACTGAAACGTTTTCTAATTCTAATTTTAGAAAACCGCTTGTGATGTTTATCACATCTTTACACACGCCTGTGTTTTCTCTCTCTCAAAAAACAGGAAATGTGAGACATTTTATTGCATGTTCACATCTTTTCATGTGCTCAATTTAATGTATGATCCACACACATCTTTACAACTTTTAGATATACAATAGAATAGAATAGCTTTTATTGTCACTTTTACAAGAACAATGAAAGCCTGTTTGGCGTTTCTCCATGTGTGTGAAGTACACAATAGCATAAGTATTTACACAATCACAGACAAATTTACATTTACACAAGAAAGATATGTACAAGTCATACATACCCCTGCAAACATACGGATACAGTCATACAAACATACACGCACATACATACATATATGTATATATACATGTATGCATGCGTACATACATACACACACATATTTCCACATACACGCTTACATATATACATACATATATACATATTTTTAAATGTGTAAATCAGGAAATGAGCTGACTTGTTTTCTGCACCACAAAACGGAGGAAAGTTTTATTTTTAATTTCCTTGTATGCACGCTTGGTGAAAACTTGATTTGGTTCTTAATTTTGAGCAGTTTCAATGCTTAGATAAATAAGTGTGTTTTGTTGTAATCTGTTGTTGTAATGTAATCATAAAAAAACTCATATTTGGATATGATTTTTTTTTAAATTTAATTTCATCCCCATTTCTTAAGAGGGGACAAACACTGAAATCGGAAAGCTCTGGTTTTAACTACTCCATTCATCAATTTAACTGTTATTAATGAAAATAAAACACATTTTTTGTGTCTAAACATGCTCAAAAACTTGTATTTTGCACACAGCTGTGGAATTAGTGTAAGGTCTGGTTCATTCCTACATTTTAGTCATTTCAAGGTGGTAATATTCATTCTTTTTTAAAAAAATTTTTTTATTTTCTATGATTTGATCATTTCATTTAAAAGAGGGCTTGTTAAACTATTAGAAAAATGTACTGGTTAAACCGAGGATGTTATGCTATAACAATTTTGTTGGGCTTGCTACACATTACTCATTATTTTTCTTAAAAGTAATGCACGTGGGTTAGGGTACGTACATGTACGTTAATTAATTACTTAACAAAGAAAGTATTACATTCCTTTCCTGTTACTCAGTAAAATGACCTACAATGCACTGTCCCATAATTAACGGCTAGCAATATCAAACTGTGGCTACAGTTCACATACAAGTACAAATACAGGCTACAATGTTATAAGCCTGTCTGCTCATCACTGCCTTTGTTGCCTGTCATGATACTGGGTCGTGTGACCCAGTGTTTGAGTTTAATGTTTAATGTACCTTTTTTTTGTGTTCATTTGTGTTCTAGTTTCAGTACCAAAAGGGATTTCCGATGTTTCTGTGTTTTTAAGCCTAGTATATTTAGTCACACTGGTAAAAAGACTAGTTACCAGGATTTACAAAGTGGTTAGGAATAAAATAAAGAAATGACCTGTTTTGCAAGTATCTTCATGTGTTTGCATTATTGTATGAATATTAAAATCAATATAATCCTTTCTGTCCACTTAAAATATCTTTCAAAATCTGTGATTTTACATTTTTGATCTTAATTGAAATATTACAAGTTTTAGTACTGTATTTTCATATTTTTTCTTTGTGTGCATTTTGATTTCACATGTCCTCAGACCCACCAACCTTCACCAATGCTTCAAATGAGACCCTTGAACTTCCAACTGGTGAAAAAAAT